GAGAGAGAGAGAGAGAGAGAGAGAGAGCTCATGCCACCGGTGAGCCCATGCCTTTCTCTGGCAACAGTGGCTATTAGTTGGCCAATATAATCACTACGTGTATGCATATGGTATGGGCAACGTTGTGTGCATGATATAATCATCGACGAGCTCATGAGGTTTATGGGCTACGGCGACTATACTGGTATTACTTTAAGAAAAAATGTTAAAGCGGTCCACATACTGTACTTAAAGATGCTGAGAATACCATGACATTTAAAATAAGTATTGCATCGATGATAGATCTTATTGCCATACTGAGAACGGCTATTATCTCGAAGACATCCCACAGTATCCATATTTGAAAATCATTTATTTTAATTTTGAATAAAAATTGTATTTCTGTCATTAGTTTTGGCTATTTTTCATACAATTGTACAGAGGCACGAGGCATAGAGGCATAGGCTCTCATACAACCTTAGTCTATTATTTGGGCGCCTTTTCAAAGTTGGTTCAAAAAATGATTTACAAATTAAATTAAATTAAATCACTTGATTAAATTTAACAAAATATTTTAATCTAATATGTTTAACTATACTGAGATACGTGTATTCAGTTAGTAAAAAATATTTATATGCATCAACTGGTCATCGTTTGACCGCATTTAAATTTATTTTCCCTGTTTTCAGGAAGATAAAATATCTTTCCTCCCAAAACTATTTTTCAGGAATATATTTGACCTGGGAGGGAAATGTCTAACATTAATTCTGTTTGTATTCATTTATTATTATTGAACGGCTTTTACACATGTCATGACAAAAATAGCCACACATAATAAGTTTTGCTAAATATCAACCATAAACAAAATACTTTTAAATATTACATAAATGTCATTTTATGTTATCTAACAGCGAGATAAATTTTGATATTGTGCTTGTAACGAAGTTCACTATTTTAAAAGTGTTAATTATATGTAAAATAATTATTTCAATACATGTATTCAACGATAATAATAATTATATTAATAGTTTTTATAATTAATATTATTAATAGCAGTCCAATTAATAAGACAAATAATAACCTTAATTTAATTGAGAAATTATCAGTTAAAATAGTAAAACATACTCTAAATCAGAAATGTAATTATCAAAACTACAGCACTGGGTGTCCGGTCGACGCGGCACAGGTGTGTCGTCAGTTCAGGTGTCGGTGTAATGAGAGTTACCCCATAGAATGGTTCGGCCGATGCCTACCCTGGGTATCGGTGAACGGCCCGTGTTTCACATCTAAACAGTGCTCGGAATGGGACACAAACTCCCGGTGTTATACCATTGATGACCGGTTCCAGTCGGGCACATGTCTGTGCCTTCAGGACTATTACTACGATAACAGCACTTGTGTGGACTCGTGTGTTAAACGCGTGGCTTTTGGTGAGAAGTGTCAAAACAGTGACCAATGCTTTCACGGCAACAGTGTTTGCGATAACACAACCTATCGGTGCCGTTGCGGCCATAACTACACGTATGATTTGTCAGTCAAGCGGTGTCGACATAACGACAGCTACGGGTGCGCCGAAGACCAGGAGTGGGTCGAGTCCAGAGATCAATGCGTGGCCAAACACCCTTATATGTCAGGTATTATTCATAATTATAAATTTTTATCATGGTAAAAATATAAATTTATAAAATATAAATATTTATATGCATTTTCAGTGGCCATACGAATACCGTCGATAAAAATACCGGCCGTACGGGTGGGCGGGATTCGGAGCGGGGGCAGTGCTGGGGGTAGGGGTGGGGGCAATATTGGTGGTGGTAGCCGAGGGTCCGTACAGGGGTTCCGACCAGTAGTAGTGGGCGCATACGGCCGCCGCAGTTATATTACGGAAGGCTGCGATTCTGGTAATAATGGTAACAATGGTCAAAGTACCTTCTTTTTAGTTGTCGGTGGTGTATTAGGTTTATCACTCGTGATGGTAATGATGTATATTGTTCAATCACCCGCCCGGCTATATAATTTGCATGTAACTGACAATAAAGTATCATGTTTTAAGTACATGGTTTGTCGTGGTAAATAAAATTGTTCGATGATTACTTGCTAAAATTCATTAATATAATTATGATAACGTGTAAATGTGATAATGTATTAGTTGTTTTTATTTTAATATGAATAATTTTACCTTGTTTATGTTTTTGTAAAACATTTAATGTATGCGTTTATACAACGTCTGTGATAATTATTATGCTAATACATTATTCCTAATATTATTATAAAAGTTACTGAGTCATTATTATTTCTATCTAAATTATTTAAAAAAATTAATTCTTTATATTATAATTTATAAATAATTCATACATAATATTCTGTAAAACATGGATTCTTTTTAAAACTTTTTTAATTAAATGTAAATTAAAATAAAAATTTATATAATATTGATGTTTATTTAACATTGCATTGTAATATGTGACGCAAGAATTCAATGATAAATACGACCATGTGATCAATTATACAACAAAAATCAATAACTAAATTCAAAAAGCAGAAATTCTTTAATTAATTAATTAATTATATGTTTGTATAAATGCTGTTAATTTTATTAAATCATTAAGTTAAAACAGATTATATTATCCAAAATAAGTTAAAACAACAAATAACTTATTATTAACTTAATTTTATGGAAAAATTATTTAACATGGTCACTATGAATGTTTGACAATGACATAGTGTAAATGTAGCACATGTATTAAAACATAAATGACATAGCGCAATTCACAAGATTATAAAATACATTATAAACATAAAATATAAAATATTATAGTCATAAGTACATTGTATATCGGTATAAGTGGTGTTCAAACGGTATCGACAAATATGACTGACAATCGGTACAACACAATCTCTGGCCAGAGATTCCCGAAGCTCTACCCAATCGAGTGCGTGGAGTACGCCCTGGACTACAAGCCGGTAGCGGGCGATCGCATACTAGTAACCATCCCTCGATCGGGCACTTTCTGGACCCAATACGTGGTCATGTGTTTGACAAACGGCGGACGAGTGGCCGACATAAGCGCCGCCGATATCGACCAATACTTTCTCGAAGGGAAAGGCCCCCGAGCGCGCACACCCGCCCGCTGTTTGACCGGCGCTGACATCACTTTTCTGTGCACTCATTGCGTGGAAGTGCTGTCCAAACGGGAAGTGCCGGGAGTCGGGTATCTACTGGTGATCCGCAATCCTAAGGACGCGTTGGTATCCCTGTATCGCATGCTGTGCCGGGTCTGCGGCGTGGATCTGGATTTCGGTCAGGTTCTGGCCGATTGGATGGCCGGCCGGCTGTCATACGGCGACCGGATTGGGAGCATCAAACGCTTGTGGCTAAGCCGACACCGGGCCGACTGTACCTTGCTAGTTTATGAACGCATGCTGGCCGACCCGGCCGGCGCTATTAAACGGGTGGCCAGGTTTTTGGGCCCCGATTACGAACGCCGATTGACTGAGACGTGTCCGGACGTGGAAGGGGAGGTGCCGGCAGTCGATGAGACACTTCTGGACCGTACACTAAGACTGTGTTCCATCCGCACAATGAGAGATAAGTTTACTGGCGGTAAACACGTGGTCTCCGGCGGCGCCGGCGGCTGGAGATCGATGTTTAGCCGCCAACAAAGCGACGATTTTGACCGCCGGGTGCGCGACGAGTGGTCCGGCACTGGACTCGACACTCTATGGGAGCGCGAAATGCGTTGGTCTACCGATTAGTTTAGTTATTACATATTTATTAGTTATGTTTTTTACTTTTAAGTAATTAATAGTAAATAGTTCGTCTATGTAAATCTAGAAAATTTATTGTATGTTATTTGATTTATATGTTATTTAATCTAGCAATAAATACCACGATGTGATCAACAATAAAACAAATATCAACATTCCTGTGAATTGTGTGAATGGTACAATATATGAATAAATATTTAATAATTACATACTGTACATGTATAATGTATACAAATGTTTAATAAATTAAATATAAATAAAATGCCAAAAATTATTTAGTTTTGGTGTTAAAACAAATCCATTATAAGAAAATACTAAAATTGCAATAGTAAATATAAAATAATGTTATATAAAATTTTATATTGCAAAATGGCAATATTGCAATAGTGATAAAAAATTATTGTCTATGTATTTTTACTTTTGATAAAATAATTTTAGCTTGATAAAATAAATTTTAAAAATTTATTGTGTGAAATATTTTGATAACATATTCATTTAAATTCAGGCTTTTCAACTTAGAAATCTTTGTCACCTTGGGTAGTTGCGACAAGGTTTTTGTTTTACACTGGAATTTTTAAATTTTGAATTTAAAATATAAAAAGTTTAGGTGTG